AAAGAAGTGGAACCCCAAATACAGCGATGAAAGCTCCACTTTTATTTGGTTTTCTAAAATGTTAACAGAAACATGAAAAAAATCCCTCCTTAACTCTACCCCTAAATAAAAATACATGACTCAGATTGCATAATGAGGTATGTTGTCACATTGGTTCTGTATGTTGCAATATATTTTTAATAGATGAGACTTTGAGAATTGGACTCTATTTAACCCTTTCATGCATGAACTATAATAACATCAATCCAGATTTTTTTTTCTTAGGTATTTTTATTCCTCTTTAGGCATGTAAAAAAGATTTTTGAACTTCATTTTTTTTAAACATGTACTTTCCAAATAGTTTTTTACATGTCCACTTACACATGTCCACTGGCTGACCAGTGGGTAGCAGGGTATCGACTGACACATCAGTGTCCAATGTAGTGGTTTCTATGCAAGTATACCATCAACACTGACACAAATGCAAGAAAACAGCTGTTGAATAGCTGTCCACTGTAGTGACCACTATGCGTAAGTTGAAACCTATCACACTGTGTACTTAAGTCTATGCTAGGCACACCCACCATTTATCTGGCAGCTCAATGCCAGGCTCACGCCCCAAAACCATTTTATTTTTGGTATCAAGAGCCATGAGTGCATCATGTATGCTAAATGATGTGATTTATGATTAGGTCCAGGGGACTTCCCATGGTCGATCAGTGGGGAAACATGCAGATTAAGCTTTTTGCTTTGTGTGTCAGTGACATCGCACAGGGCTACGAGAACGTTCCAATCCCCTGCGTGAATTCGGTGGATGATGAAGGCTGTCCATCGGATTACAAATACGTTTCAGAAAACTGTGAAACTTCAGCAATGAACATAGACCGTAATATCACACACTTACAGGTAACTTCATTGTGTCTCCACACAACAGAACTTTTATTTTGAAAAATGTATTCTTCATTTTTCCTTGTTTTTTTTCTGGGTTTTTTCCTCCCCCTTCAGCACTGTAGTTGCACTGATGACTGCTCATCTAGCAACTGCCTCTGTGGACAGCTCAGCATCCGCTGCTGGTATGACAAGGTAACAAACTGTCTGGGGGAATAAAATACTATCATAATCATTAGCAGCAGATTTCATATGAAGTTAAATTGGCAGAGTTATTCTTATTCTATCATATTTTTTTCACCTCTTTTTCTGTTACAAGGATCAACGGCTGCTTCAGGAGTTCAACAAAATCGAACCTCCACTAATTTTCGAATGCAACATGGCTTGCTCTTGTTATCGAACGTGCAAGAACAGGGTGGTCCAGGCAGGGATCAAGTGAGTATCAGCAATTAAAGAAATGCATAAATCTCAGCCAGATTACACGTCAGACTACAAACCGACACCGAATAATCTTAACCTCGTGTCATCTGGAAAGATTTCTAACAAATAAACTCAACTGCTAAAGTTTTGATTGGGGGGGAAAAATGATTCTTCTCTTGTGCAGTAATCAACAACCTGCTGACCATCTTTCTACATCTTGCTGAGGGCAGCAATGGTAAAGCAATAATTATTAATCACTCTGCACCTGAGTCAGTCACAGATGTTTAACAGTGCAGAGGCAGGCAGCCATGTGTTGCAAATAGCCATTACTGGTCCCCCGCCCCCCGGTTGATGAGTGTCTGCTTGATACTTCTCTCTTAACCCTATTTTTTTTTTTTTTTCCTCTTTCCTCCTCAGAGTTCGTTTGCAGCTGTACAGGACAGAGAAGATGGGCTGGGGAGTTCGAGCTCTGCAGGACATTCCACAGGGAAGCTTCATCTGCGAGTAAGAGGGAAAAAAAAGCCTCTGCTGGCACACACTAGGCTGCTTTTCTGTGAAAAGCTAGAGGTTAAAAAAAATGAAGCTTACCTTCCTCTTTCTGCACAGATATGTTGGAGAGCTGATCTCAGATGCAGAAGCAGATGTTAGAGAGGACGACTCCTACCTGTTTGACCTGGACAACAAGGTGAACTTTCTTAAATCGTGTATTTCAAAACATGGACATCATGTGGGCAAAACAGAAAGAGGGGGCACACAGCTTATTAACTGTATAATTATTAATCAAAAACTATGAAGTAAATAATTGACCAAGTCTTAATCTTGTGTTTCGAAGGTTAGGGTTTAACCCCCTTTCTTGTGTTGACACTGATTCTAAAAATATGAAGATACTTTTATCATGGTACTTTGAATTGATGATTGTGTTGTTTCTGCAGTATTTTAAATTGTATTTACTAATTTAATAGGAATAAATATGCCCATAGCAGAAATAAATGTCTGCTATGATTTCCTCAACTGTCTTAACGGTCTTTTTTTTTTCTGTATAGGATGGGGAGGTGTATTGTATCGATGCCCGGTATTACGGCAACATCAGCCGCTTCATCAACCACCTGTGTGACCCAAACCTCATCCCAGTACGTGTGTTCATGCTCCATCAGGACCTGCGATTTCCTCGCATTGCCTTCTTTAGCTCCAGAGACATCCTCAGTGGGCAGGAGCTGGGGTAAGAAGTCATAAGTGCCTGGTTGGACCTTAAAGTTGTGGTCAAGAGTTTACATGCACTCATCATGGGCATGAATGTGATGGTAATTTGGGGCTTTTGATTTTACAGCATACATATTTAATAACGTTGAAAAACAAGAATTGGGTTAATCTGAGAAGACTAATTGTAGATTTACATGAGCTGGGAATGGCTGTCATAGCAGTTTCGAACAACTGCTATGACAGATCATCTTAGGTTTTCATCTATAGGTTTTCATCTTGTGAATAACTTAATCATCTTTTCAAATGACTGTGCTGTACGTAAGTACAGTGGATCTCTCTGTCACCCTCAGGTGAGAAAAAATTCTTAGGATGTTTGGAAAAACACAGGAACCACCTGCAATGAACCAGAAACTCCTGGAATCCAGTCTTTAAGTGATGACATATGAACTTTGTCATCACATATGAGCTTCCGGGTCCAAACTACTCGGTTTATTAAAGCTGTTGTGTTTTTAAACATGTTTTAATGCTTTGTATCTTGTTCCGTGTAATCTGAACAAGCCCCTAAAAACGGTCGGTGATCACTGTCGGCCTCTCTCGGTTTTTATTACACAATCATTTTAAAGCTCAGTTTTTAAAACCTTACGATGTAACTACAGCCCAGCTCATGCAGCAGTGTTTTAATGACTAACCTCTTATTGCGGATGGATTATCTCAGTTAATCTCCTGACTGAAGTTTGGTCCGTTTACAATCCTGCCATGCAGTTGCATTTGTCCCAAACCATCGGAAACCCTCGCGTTAACTTTTATCGAGTGGAAAAAAGTTGGCGTTCATCCTCCAGCTTCACTGTTTTTACATTATGAAAAAAGAAATTAAATTACCATAACCATACACTTGCCCATGAAAAGTGTATGTGAACTAAATTGAACACAACTGTGTGTAATTTATTTCCTGCTTAGTTGAGCCCTCTTTTCTTTCTGTTATCGGGAAATCTATTCTAATGGTCTGCTTCTGATTGGTCCTTAGGTTTGACTACGGAGATCGTTTTTGGGACATTAAGAGCAAATATTTCACCTGTCAGTGCGGCTCGGAGAAATGCAAACATTCGGCCGAAGCTATCGCCCTGGAGCAGAGCCGGCTAGCTCGGCTGGAGGCCGGCCCAGAATCAGGAGCTGACTGTGGGCTGACCATGCTAGGGAACCCTTAAACAAAAACAAAAAAAGACACTTACCCATGGGGCCTTTGGATTAACTCCTTCTGTTGCATACACTAGTAATGGAAATACATCATAGCGGGGGTATATCTTCATTCATCATTCAGTTTTATATCTAAGGTGCTGTGTGTTTTTCTACTTGAACTGCAATTTCTTTTCCTGAAGCTGTCAACAGCCACTTTATCTTGTCGAGGATTTGGGCCAGAAGATTTGTTTTACCATGTAGGAGTTTGGAGAAAGAAATGACCGAGGTCTTGTAATTCTTTACGCACAGTATTTTAACTGTAAATCATAATGTACTCATGCCTTGACACTTTGCGTGTTAGCAGTCTGTCATCATGTACCAGTCATATATACAAACATGTATTTTATACTTTTTTTTTTTTCCTTTTGTTTCTCTTGTGCCAACAAGTCATGCATTTTGATACAGAGCAGTAATGGTTCGGGTGTTTACCCATGCTGGACCGAGTAAGGTTGTTTTTGATTACCATGTTAGCTTTGTTTGTTTGTTGTTGTTATTTTATACCTGCTGTTTACTGTCACGTAGTGTAATAAAATAACTCGTGAGTTGACTTCTGTGCTGTGGCTTTATTAAAATTAAAAATCATGGCCTACACATGTTTAAAGTCACTTGATTAATTTGTTTTATTTGTGCTCAGCCTTGAGTTTGTCGGGTTTTTGGTTTCCTAGCTTCCGTTTTAACAACAAAGGCCCTTTAGACAATAATGCAAAGCAAGAGGAGTGGGAAGCAGGACTGGGTATGATCAGATGTGAAGATTAAAGGTGGAAGTCGCACTCTGATCAAATTCAATTTCAACACAGAAGAGACTCCACACTAATGTCTACAAGTCCAATTTAAAATCACCAGTTAATCTAAGAGGCAAGACACAAAGACACATAGACACAAAGACACATAAACACAATGGCTCAGACCTTTGCTGCCCTCTAACAAAAATGCTAGCTCCCACTGGAAGATAATAGGACACACACACACGTGTCATTTATTTATTTCTTAGACAAAGCACAGCTCTGGCTCAGTGAAGGAAACACTTGTACGCATTTTAAAAACCCAACAAATCTAAACATTTTTACTAGGACTATGCACGCAATGACAAGGCTAAAAAATATATTTTTTCTCTTTATGTATTGATTTTAGTGATGCCAAAGTATTACCATAGACCTCTACAATTACACTATGCAGAGCGAGTCCTCTTGTTAATAAACAATCTTTGGTCCACCGCGCAGGTGCGCATCCCTCAGCAGGTGCGCGTGCCGCGTCATTCCCTGGTTACAGCTGCCAGGAAGAAAAAGATTTCTTCAGTCGTTAGTTGCAATGTCCGCGCTAACGCGGCGAAGCTCCCTCGGAAAAAGTCGGTTTTAGCTTCTTGTTTATTTAGTTTTAAGCTCGCAGTGTGTAGAAGAAGTTGCGTTTTATGAGTAAAGGAGGAACAGGTGGAGGTCCAGGCGGAACATGGCTAAAAAAACACAAGAAGAGGAAAATCCGAACTCCGAATACGGTGAGCTGACGTCGGCCGTTGGTGTTCTCAGAGGATCTGCTTTCAGCGTTAAAGTAAAAATTTCCAAAGGCAGCTGAGAAAAATCTGAAATGAACGATTTTAGAGTTAAATTCTTTGTGAGAGCTGTGTTCATTTTTTGTGTCACGCCATTTTTTCTAGAATTTTAAGTTAAAGTTTCTAACTCTTTTTTTTTTTTTTTTTTTTTTTAATGACGTGGTTATTAGCATAAATCCACTGTTTCTAGCGTGGATTTTTTTTTTTTAATGACTGTTAGGTCGTTAAAGTTCAGTGATATCTTATTTATCTTCCTGTTTAACAGTAGGCCGTGTGCCAATAATTAGTCTAATCAAACTGTTTTATTGTTTTACCGATAACCTAGTTTTAAAATGTTGTGACAGTTTTATTACTGACAAATCAGGACACCTCAGAAACCTGACTGTAAGAAAAAAGACAAAGTATCCAATGGGAGAAATAAGAAGGCTAAAATAGTTTTAAATAATTGCATCCTGTCCTTTAAAATTTCTTCCATTATTAATGTCATGCTTAGATTTAATTCCAGTGTCAGCTGAGCATGGCCTTATGGTCAAATGTGTTAACTGTGTAGTGTTGGGGTTAGAAGGATTAGATACTAACTAAATAAATACTTAATTTCTCTCATCTAAATACCAGTTTGTTCTCCCTGATGAGAATCCTCAGTTATTTAGGCTTGAAAGTTGCCTAAATCAATGTTTTATCATGAAAATATGTGCAGTTTATTTCTATAATGATCAGTTAACATTGTTTCATATTAGGGTGAATGTACACATAAGCACTATTGGTCTGCATAGTGTAAAAGCAGGGAGTCTGTGTTGCATTAGTTAACAGATTGTGGCCTTTTGATAAAAACTTGTGATAAAAAAATGGTTAATATTTTTTATCAGAGCTGATGAGTTTCCTTTGGTGGAGAGTGAAAGCTTCCTTTGTGGGTGCCGTTAATATGCAGGGAAAACTCTGGAAGACAACATTGCTATGCTATTTTCATGAGGTCTGAACCAACCAGGCGCTCCAACTGTGAAAGAAAACGTTATTATAGTGAACCTATTAGTGTGGGTATTGCACACAAACTCTAAAACTGGAGATGCTTAGATTCTTAAAAGACAAATTCTGTTGCTGCTGATGAAAACGTTTTGGCCAGTTCACCTTGTGCAACAGAGTCTGTCTGTAAGTCATGAGTCTGTTGACACTCTGGCAGGTTTGATAAGGCTACAATAAACAAACCCTCCCTGGAGGTAAACATACATGGATGGATTGATTTCATGTCTTTCCATATAAGATGTAAAAACCAGGTGACCACAGCATCACTGACAGCTGAACCTCTGTTTTTTT